ATACTTGTAAGTCTTGATCACTTGCATCCTCTACCAGATCCAAATGAAAATGGCCTCAAGTCTAATACAGTAAGAAGTCTTATAGAAGCTGAACAGCTATGTGTGCAATCTCAGGATGACTTCTTGGTGAGCATCCACCTGGTAGACTTGCAATCAACAAAATGTCAGTGGTCTAAATTGGAACCAAAGCATCACAAAGATCACTCCCTGAGCATTCTCAGAACACAGGAATGTGAAGAAATGTATTTAGGGTGTAATCTGCTGAGCTTTGCACAAGCGTAGATGAATTGGAGAAGAATGACAGAACAAAGAATAAGAGAGAAAGAAAAGGCCTTTCAAGGAAACAGTGATGCAAATCCAACTGGTTCTTGACACATGGAGGCACTAAAAAACCATTGATCTCTCTGGATCTGTGCGTATTAAGTGGTCGTGTCTTTTAAATCAGGACCAGATTGGAAACGAAAAGGACCTGAAGTTTTGCAACTGAAACGTCTGATTTCCCAAAGAGATTCTTGTCATTGTAAAGAAGTGCTGTGATGTCTAAACTCATTTGCAAGAATGATGACATCAACAACTTGGTGGTTGAGGAGAATATTGAAAATCATCAACTAGCTGATAATCATCAACTAGTTAACATCAAAAGAAATGTTTGGTGATCAATAGAGAGATCTGATGTTTCAATCGTAGGATTGAGAGGATCAACATCTATTAAATCTATCTATATGAACCCTAGATTATGCTAATTTTGTTCTGATGGCATTAGCAATTGAAACAATAATCTAACTTAGGACTGAATTCCATTAACAGGTAAAACGCCATCAAAGGATAGCGAGTCACATGCGTCAAAAGCTGATTCCAAACCCACAGAGAAAGCAAAAGGAGAAGACAAGTCTAAAGATGGAGGGGCTGCAAAATCACAAACATCTGGTTCTTCTCAGAGGTACTGTAAGGTGTTGTTTAAGTCTCTAGCAGAGTTTTTATTGTGACATTATTTCTAGCACAAGAATACAAGCATTAACAAATGGGAAATTTTTTTGTTGCATTGCTCTTGGGGAAACACCAGTCTTGGTCACCTTGTCAGTGGGTTGATGACTTACATGGAAATTTTTTCTCTGGTCATTTGCAAGACTTGGAATTTTCTTAGTGACCAAAGCTCTGTCGACACTGTAAACTCATAAACTTTGTCAGTTTGGTTGACAGTTTCTCTTTTTTTCATCTTGTTCTTTTCCAGTGACAAGGAAACAAAGGGTAAAACAAGTGATACAAAAAGTAAAGACTCCAAAACTACAGACAGCAAGACGACTAAAACACCAAGCAAGAGTACTTCATCAGCAAAGGACAAGAAAGAAACTGGCAAAAGCCTGTGGGTCAGCAATCTGTCCTCTGTGACAAGAGCGGCTGATCTGAAAACACGATTCAGTCAGTACGGAAAGGTAAGGAAGTAAAGTTAACTACATTTGCTTTGGCAGAAAAAAGTTATTGTCCCTACTTCCAGACCAAAATAAAGCCTAGATTACCTTGAAGTGACTAGGAGTATTAAGTAATCCTCTATATAGGATTGGTACTCGTAATGTCTTGTTAGTTGTCTAGACTGTTTAATCTAAGAAAACCTCTCATTTAGAGCTTGTTTAGTGTGAAAACTTGTACCGCTGAAATGGGACAATGAGATTTCAAACCATGTTAACATAAAGGGACACTTTTTCTTTGTTTCACATTCTACATGACTCATGCGATTCCATCTTGGATTGTGTGACAAAACTATGTATGTGCTACCCATTCTAGTCTGATGTCCAACGGAAATGAGTGTTCATTCATTGCTTACTTGATGCTGGTGCAAGTTTTTTTTACTGGAACAAAAATCTTGTTTGGTACAGCAATCCAGTATGGCATTTTGTGCTGCTATCGTTTTAATTGATATGAAGTGCGAATAGCTGCTGATTCACCATGACTTCTTTTAAATGGTCTCTCCATGGGCTTAAATATTCGCTTGATGATTGTTGGTTCACAGGTTGTTGGTGCCAAGATTGTTACAAATTCCAAGGCGCCTGGAGCCCAGTGCTTTGGGCTTGTTACCATGTCAACCAGTGAAGAGGCAGCCAAGTGTATATCACACCTCCACCGCACAGAATTGCATGGAAGGACCATAACAGTGGATAGGGTAAGTTAAATATCTGTCTTGTGATACTCTCCCAGTATGATATATCTTCAGGCAATTCGGCTATGCCTTGTTGACTATTTGCTCATATAAAACTTGGGCTTTTAGTCTAATTGATTCATGCACTGTACGCCTCAGACTAGAAACTAATGTCATTTTTGTGGTTTATTTTCTTCAGGCCAAAGGTGATCGCCTACCAACAACTCAATCTGGATCTGGGAAGAAACAAACTGACAAGAAACAGGTTGACAAGAAGCAAGCTGACAAAAAGCCAGTCGAAAAAAAGCCAGCCGACAAAAAGCCTGCTGACAAGAAACCAGCCGACAAAAAACCAGCTGAAAAGAAACTAGCAGATAAAAAACCAGGTAATGACATTTTAGTATAGGCAAATATACATGTAAGACAAGAAAACATTACTTTTAGTCAAGCTGTAAANTCTTAGTGACCAAAGCTCTGTCGACACTGTAAACTCTTAACCTTGTCAGTTTGGTTGACAGTTTCTTTTTTTCCATCTTGTTCTTTTCCAGTGACAAGGAAACAAAGGGTAAAACAAGTGATACAAAAAGTAAAGACTCCAAAACTACAGACAGCAAGGCAACTAAAACACCAAGCAAGAGTACGTCATCAGCAAAGGACAAGAAAGAAACTGGCAAAAGCTTGTGGGTCAGCAATCTGTCCTCTGTGACAAGAGCTGCTGATCTGAAAACACGATTCAGTCAGTATGGAAAGGTAAGGAAGTAAAGTTAACTACATTTGCTTTGGTTTTTTTTGTCCCTACTCTCAGACCAAAATAAAGCCTAGATTACCTTGCTTGAAGTGACTAGGAGTATTAGTACTAAAATAATCCTTTTTATAGGATTGGTACCCCCTAACATCTTGTTAGTTGTCTACAGTGTTTAGCCTAAGAAAACCTCACATTTAGAGGTTGTTTAGTGTGAAAACTTGTACTGCTAAAATGGGACAATGAGATTTCAAATCATGTTAACATAAAGGGACACTTTGCTTTGTTTCATGTTGTACATGAAGCATGCGATTCCATCTTGGATTGTATGACAAAACTATGAATGTGCTACCCATTCTAGTCTGATGTCCAACTGAAATGAGTGCTCATTCATTGTTTACTTGATGCTGATGCAAGGTTTTTTACTGGAACAGAAATCTTGTCTGGTACAGCAATCCAGTATGGCATTTTTTGCTGCTATCGTTTAAATTGATATGAAGTGCAAATAACTGCTGATCCACCTTGACTTCCTATACCGTAAATCTTTGAATTAGTGCCCGGGGCACTTATTTCAAAATTAGGAGAAAATAGGTGGCGCTTATTCAAGGGGGGTGCTTAATCGAGGCAGGGCGCTTATTTGATTTTTCTCAAATGGTGGCCTGACATGATAATTTTTTTTCAATGCATCATCTGCGCGTAAACAATAACATAAGCTGTTTATCGACCTTAAGAGCTGATCTTTATGATCCTAAAGTTTAAATCATGGCACCATTAGTACTTAAAGTGTTCAAAATGTTCACTTAACGTGCTCACAAACTGAAACAATGTGCAAATCTAATACTACACATCTAATACTGTACATCCTTTGTTGTCTCATTACTCGTCAACAAAATGGGGTAAGGGGAGGGGGCACTTATTCGAGGAGGAGTGCTTATTTTAAATTTTGGCCAGTAGGAGGGACGTTTCTTTGAAGGGGGCACTTATTCGAGGATTTACGTTGAATGGTCTTTCCTTGGGCTAAAATATTTGCTTGACGATTGCTGGTTCTCAGGTTGTTGGTGCCAAGATTGTTACAAATTCAAAGGCTCCTGGAGCCCAGTGCTTTGGGCTTGTTACCATGTCAACCAGTGAAGAGGCGGCCAAGTGTATATCGCACCTCCACCGCACAGAATTGCATGGAAGGACCATAACAGTGGATAGGGTAAGTGAAATATCTGTCTTGTGATACTCTCCCGGTATGATATATCTTCAGACAACTCGGCTATGCCTTGTTGACTATTCACTCATACATAACTTGGGCTTTTAGTTTAATCATTTCATACACTGTATGCCACAGACTAGAAACTAATGTTATTTTTGTGGGTTATTTTCTTCAGGCCAAAGGTGATCGCCTACCAACAACTCAATCTGGATCTGGGAAGAAACAAACTGACAAGAAACAGGTTGACAAGAAGCAAGCTGACAAAAAGCCAGTCGAAAAAAAGCCAGCCGACAAAAAGCCTGCTGACAAGAAACCAGCCGACAAAAAACCAGCTGAAAAGAAACTAGCAGATAAAAAACCAGGTAATGACATTTTAGTATAGGCAAATATACATGTAAGACAAGAAAACATTACTTTTAGTCAAGCTGTAAATTTAATTAGGTAAGTAATTTTTAGTGGAGAGAATTTTTGCCTGTTTTTTTTTTTCACGGGAACTTTTTCTGTGGATTGTGAAAAAAAGCTGCAAAAATTAGAAGCTGCGGAAAGTAAGTGCCACATGGTAGTCACAGAATAACAGACTCTAACTTGCGTCCTGGTGAATCTTGCAATATGGCACAACCTCTGCAATGTTTCTTTTGTTTCTTATACAGCTGATGCATCAGATAAATCCAAAGCCAAAACTGACGACAAGAAGCAAACAGACAAGGGGAAGAAACCTGCTGAGAAATCAACTGGTAAATCAACAACAACTAAAACACCGGCTAAGTCATCTTCTAAACCAACTCCAAAACAACAGAAAACAGGTCAGTTATGCTTAGCTAGCGTTTATGTTAACGTTGATTGTTTTTGTGAAGTACCTCAGTAAAGTCTTATGTTCCTGTAATATTACTAGGTAACACACATGAAAGCTGAATGTGGGAAGTTTGCTATTCTGGTCCACTGTTATGGTCCTTCCATGCAACTCTGTTGTTTGAAATGGTGGCGATCTGTTGTGAACTCCTTTTATTTATCTGTTAAGATGCCATTTTTGTGAGAATATTTTAGATATCTTATGTCGGGTCCTAACTTGTTGCACCAAGGTTTTTCCACATTGGCGCTATTATTGATGTCACTTGTGGAATCCATGCAACTGAAAACAATTTCATTGGTACCAGTTAATTTGCTGTGAGAATGTGTATGTGATCTGACGTTGATTCATGACTTGCTCAGCCAGTTTATTCCATACTGATGCTATTATGGACGTCTCTTTGCTGACCCCATTCTTCTGCTACACTTTTCCCATGGCTTTTACCAGCACTGATTTGTAAATGTGTCAAAATTCTCGTGGCACAAATTCAAGCAACAATTTACCATCATAACGGACCTGATCACAAGGAGGATGGTCTTGATGAAACTCCAGGTTCTCATCTGAAGAATTCCAGAATCGCATGTAAAGTATTGAGGAGAATTTATTTTCTGACCTTGACGGTTCATTTTCCCTTGGCTAGGGCGATTGTGGCCCTCGAGTTCTGCTGTGTTGATGTTTGAAGTTGTGAATGGCAGGGTTTCGTTGGATACAGGACGCCAGGCACATGAAGTCTGTGAAGGCGATTTTGCCCTGATGCCAGCCAGTGCTACAGTAGATTGAAACCTTAAGAGTTAAATAACAACAGCCAAGTGCGGTTGTTACAATTTCAAAACCTTTTTTGTTGTTGCATGCTCGTGATTTCGTAGTCCTCAACGTGGTCGAGTTTTTGTTTCTCTATAGTGTTGTCTGTCATGGGCTTGTTATCCAATGAAGCATTTTTCTCCCCGATTGTTTGATCTTGAGTATAAATTGTTCTCTTTTGTTTTATGATTAATGCTAATCTCGCAGGAAGTACTTCTTCAAGCGGCAAAAAAGACGAAGTTTCTAAACCAGTCGGGTCGAATAAATCTTCTGACAAGGACAAGGAGAAAGACAAAGATAAAGACAAGGATAAAGAGAAAGAGAAAGAGAAGGAAAAGGACAAGGACAAGGACAAGGACAAGGACAAGGACAAGGACAAGGACAAGGAAAAGGAAAAGGACAAGGAAAAAGACCAGGACAAAGAAAAAGAGAAGGCAGACAAAAGTAAAGACAAGGACGATAAAAAACCTAGCAAGAGTCCAATAAAGTCTCTTGATGAGATCCGCCGTGACCGCCAAGAACGACAGCGTCAGGAGAGAGCCAAAGAGATCCGAGAACAACGTGAACGCGAGCGACAAGACAGACTCAAACGAGAGCGCGAAAGACTTGAACGCGAGAAAATCGCTGAACGACAGCGTGAACGTGAACGCGAGAGGGAACGAGAAAGAAGAAGACTTCAGATCTTGCGTGAGCGAGAGATCCGCGAGAGACAAGAGCGAGAACGCTTGCGTCTTCAACGCGAATTGGAACGACAGAGAGAATTGGAACGCCAGCGAGAACGTGAACGCCGTGAGCGTGAGGAACGTGAGCGTCTGGAAAGAGAAAGGCGTGAACGACTGGAACGTGAAAGACTTGAGCGTGAACGAATTGAACGTGATCGCTTGCAACGCATTGAGCGTGAACGCTTGGAACGTTTGGAACGTGAACGCATTGAGCGTGAGCGTTTGGACCGTCAGCGATTAGAACGTGAACGATTAGAGCGTGATCGTCGGAACTTGAAGCGCCCTGCTGCTTCCTTTGAACGCGGTGACACTCAGAAGCAAGTTGGATACTGGCAAGAGCCCAAACGTGCTGCTGTGGGCGAGGGGAGACCGCGTGACTTCTTCAGTGGCGGTATCAATGAACGTGACGCCAGACGTGACCGTGCCGACGTCTCATCTGAACGGCGTGACTCGAGAGGAAGTCATCGCGAGGAAGGACGACAAGCGACTAGTGGTGGCCGTGAGCGTGACGTGCGTAGGACTGAGGAGTGGAGTCGAGCTGACGAGAGGCGCCTGAAAAAAGATGAACGAGAACGGCGCAGTGATGACGGCCATCGTACGCGTGACAAGCCACACGACCACTCCAGAGGTGCACGTGATCGGGAATTACGTGACAACCGTAGCAATCACGAGAGCAAAGCCTGGGCAGCAGCCGGAGCAGATTTGTCTGGAAGCAATGTTGGTGTCCTCGGAGCTGGAATGGATCCACAGAAAAGCTTGTCCATCCTGTTGGAGCGTGCTGGTGTCAGGGGCATCCTAGGTTCGGGTCCTGGAGCCCAAGGGCATAACGTACGAGGTGATTTGAACAAATCCATGGAGGAGCCTGGCTGGCGGGCTCCTGACCCACGTGATAGCAGGCCACCCATCCCACAAGCTGAACGCGGTGCAGGTTTTACCCACAACACGTCGACTCTCCCAGACCTCCGCTCAGCCCATGTTGATGCACGGTTCGGTTCGCTGTCCATGGACGCCAGCCATCGCGCCGTAGGCCTAACAGCAGGAGTGGAATCCGGCAAGCCACCCACACGTGACTGGCGTGACACGCACGGTGGTAACTTAACGTCACGAGATCGTGACGCGTTAGCTGCCAGAGAGAGAGAACGTCCCAGAGACCGAGGTGCGGAGACCAAACAGAGCGTGCCACGTCCGGGAGCCATCTACGATGCACGTGACACTCGCGCGCCAATCAGCCGTGATTCCATCCCGCCCAGAGGCGCGTGGGGAAATGGAATGGATTCCCGCCAAGCTGCCAACCCAGCGCTTGGTCTGTCAAACGCCGGACGCGCGGCTGTTGATGACAGGTCACGGGCGGCTGTTCCCGCCCGTGACACCGCACCAGCACCGTGGAATCAACCTGGCGGCTCTCTAGCTACGCCCGTCGGCCGAGCAGCGTACAACGGCAGTGCCGTACCTGGACCAGAAAGACGTCATCCCGTCACAGCTGATGTGCGATACGAGCCTTACAAAGCAGCTCCCCGTGTCATGATGCGTCGATATTAAGACACTAGTGCCGGAGACACTGATCTGCGTTGGTGAACAGTTCTTCTTCTGGATATCTAATTTTGAGACAGAACAATTTCGTAAGATTTGCTATGCAAGTTTTAGACTTCGAGTGACACTCGGGAACTTGATTGCCAGGATTTAAATCAACATTTTAGGGATTTTTTTGTCGTTTGTTTGTTCGTTTTCTTTTTTAAGAATTCTTAGCAGCGAGACCTGCACCTTGTAGATTAGTCATAGATAACTCACCGTTTAATCTTGATCCAGTCGTCGCATATTTACCGAGTAATCGTTTAGTGGGCAAGTTAGGAAGCAAGGGAAAACCATTTGGCAAGTTGAGCTGATTCCTTGTTGGGTGTGTAATAAAAGTTTAATGATGTGTTGTCGAAAACTCGACGTCTTGAAGGCTGTACCGTCACATCCCTTAATCGTACCAGTGGAATTTTTCACTGAAGTACGAAGGTGCACGTATTCAACCTGCGGCGTTGAAGATCTTTTCCATTGAAGCAATGGTCTGGATTTAAAAGCGTGTCCTAGCTTTGCGCTTTGAAGTATTCTGAAACACGCTTTAGATCGAGAAAGCAATTAGGATTCTGAAGTAGCTGGTGTAGCAGTGCTATTCTCCAGAGCAAACTTCGAGTTGCGTCCTCAGAAGAAACTTCTGCCATCTTCAGTGTGAAAATTACTTACCCACCAATACACCTGTGGTAAAGGGATGCTTTCGAATGTAAGTTAGAGAAGATTCCTGCAGTTTTTTCCCCATTAGCTCCGTCTCTTTTCTGCACGAAGTTGGTCCGCCGTGTTCTGATTGCACTTAGCACGAAAACAGCAAGGCGGACCAGCAAGAAAATCCGGCTTCTTATTAAAATGTTTTGGACTTGCACTCATTTTAGCGCTTAGATGCTGATGTATAATTAATCACGTCTAGTCTAGTCATTTTGCGAAATTTCTATTTGAAAAGCTTAGTCAACTCGAGCAAACGTTTGCCGCGCTAAAAGTTTATGTTATTTGCAAGGCTTCGTTGTGTTAACTTCAGCGATTATTGATGTTATTTTTTATCGTAATGGTAAACTAGACACGAGCAAGTGGATTGCACGTGGTTGACGAGTGTTAGTCACGTGTTAATGACGTTGCTTCAAGACACTTTTGTCACGTGCTCTCCTGCTTGTGATCGGTTCACCGTTGCGACATAAGCGCTCAATGTATTGGTTTTGGTAAGTTGATTCAGGTAACTTGTTTTGTTAACCATTGTGTCCCAGTACAGGCGACTCCACTGTTGGAAGTGAACAGGTGAGCTTTAAGTGCTCAAGAGGCAAATTGTAACGTAGTCTCTTCGCCTTTCTTTTGGTCGCTGCGCCCAGTAACGCTTCGTGGGAAACGTTGTAGGGTGACCCTGAGAAGGCTGCGAGACTGCTGGTACAGTAGACTTTTAACACTCCTTTCAACACTTTTAACACTCCTTTATTTCATAATATACAAATTGCGCCTTGCCCAACCCTGTTAGCTTTTTCCCGATGTTTGTTCGCTGGTTCCAGTCACTTAACGATGTCACTAACCTCGGAACACTAATCAAAGAATGTATTACATTTTTGGACCAGACCTGTTTCTCGTTCGGACTGGACCTTGACAGCGGTCAAATGTTTGTAAGTGGCTGTTTTTGGCGGGAAAGCGCGCTCATTTGACCGCTGTGAAGATTGGACCTAAGAGCGTCACCAGAAGACGATCCATGCATTCTACCCCTACCCTTGTTGGTAGTTATTTGGGCCG